ATGAAGCCAACCAGTATGGAGACTGAACCAGTAAAATGCCTATATCACCTAAAATAATTCAGATTTTCAAAAACCTTCTCGTACCCTTATTCTTAGATAGTTAAACTTTGAAAATATGAAATAAAAAAATCTAATTTTTTTGAATTTCTACACTAGAATACCCATTACCCATACCAATAAGTTGCCATCTAAAAAAAACTGACGTTAAGGAATTTAGTCAAATCAGCGCTAAAAACCCTCAAATTCAGATGTTGTTTAAATAATATAAACAACACATCGCACTTTTACTATACTATTACCAATATTGAATATGCAAATAAATCAACACAATATAACTAATACCTCATCATAGATGCTATTCCCTTGATCGTAAACGTAAAACCAAAGTGGTATTTCGTAATAATTCAAAGTATTCTTATTCAAAGTAGCCCTTTGTACCTCTGAACCGGTCGTTCTTTTATTCGTGTTTCAGTTAAATATTGTATGAATTTAGAGTTGTGTGTAGGTACACAAACTTATAGAAAATCCTCTTCGAGCATTTTGAATGGCGCCTAAGCCTCTCCCCGCCTCGCCGAGTGTGTTTGTAGTTGCTACCTTTATGATACTTGATATGTTGTGGTTTGCCCTTATCCGTCTTAGACATACTTAGACGCTAACCATATGTTTATAGACGAAAGATATGGATATTTAAGTAGACTGAATGTAAACATCTGCTCTAATAATGGCACTGTGCAACGTTTCTCAGACATTTATGCAAACTATAGTAGAATCTCAGTAATGTTGATACTTTTTTTTAATTCGATATTGTACAAACAGCACTTCTCCCATGGATTAGGGAAAAAATTAGAAGTTAACAATTTTGTATACATTTGCCATTTTGTATTCAATATTTCTATTACGGATGACAATTGTGAATGAAGTAATGAAATAAAAAAAATCTATTAAGAGCTCTCTCTCTCATGAGTAAGTGACTAGAGCCACTAGATCTAAATAAAAAGTCCCGGGTTCGATTCTACTTTGAGGAGCCTAATGTCAGGTTGTGGTGACATCAGTCTTCAATTGGAAATAAAGATAGTAATATGTTTCAAAGTGAAATTAGCTCTTATATGGTATCATTAAATTATTCGCTCTTCACAGACTTTGGGTTGCCTTCTGAGAAACTGGCGCAGTATTAAGTCACAATTATTCAACAGCTTGTAAGACTCCTAGGATCTAATTGCTGTTTAAAAATCATTTGAATTTAGTGGTGCATAGCCTTGTACTTTTAGGCAAAAATGATCGATAATCAATAAATTTTTATCAACAAGTAATAACTGTTTTAAATATTCTAAATAATCATAATAAATACTGTGAACTTCATCGTCGTATTTATTATATAAAATATAAGTGCTTATATTTGGGCGACGATCTTTATCTAAAATTTATCTACAGAAACTAATACATAAAATAAGCAAAACCTAATAATTTCTTTGTACCGTCGACACATACAATATGCTTTTTGAATCACTCTAATCGGTTGCGCCGTTTTATCAAAAAGTGCTATCTATTGCGTCTTCTGCTATGTTTTTTTGAAATCACTGTACCTGTTTTTTGCATTTTGACAAGAATTAAATCAATTATTTACTCAATCAATACTAATCGAATGTTTTTAGATTATTCTAATCGTGTGTGCTGTTCTCTTAAAAACTGGTTGATTTTGCAATTTATTGCTGTTTTTCCGAAGATTTACCTTTGCCAAAAGTTAATCAGCATATTTTCTCGTCAGTACGAATCGAATGTTTTTCTTTTGAATTGTTTAAATTGGTTAAACCGTGTTTTTGAAATCGTCAACGAAAATTTTATATTTGTACATACATTAATATAAACATACACACATGGCATCATTTTCTGAAGTATGCTAAAATGTTCAGAAATGTGAATCGTGAAGACAAAAATGTTATTAACTTTCTATAGGATTAGTTACAGTAATCGCAACAAAACAAAAATAATTTTTTTTATATATATTTACGTTTAAGAGGTTTCTGAACATTTGGCATACCTTAGAAAAAATGGATGTGTGTGTACGTATGTGCGGATACAGTTTTTTGTCGATGATTTTGAAACACGGATCAACCGATTTGAATAACTCAAAAAACATTCGATTCCTATTGATGAGTGGACGTGCTGATTAGTTTTTGGCAAAGACAGACCTAGCCGTTTCGAAGATACGGATGAAAAGTGCTAAAAATGGTATTTCAGTTTTTGAGAAAACGGAGCGTCCGATTCAAAAAGCATTTTACTTGTATTGACGAAATAAACTAGTGCAATTTTTGTGAAGGCAGGTTCAGCGTCTCCAAAGATCAAAAAAAAAGTAAAAAATAGTCATTTGGCGGTCAAAAATGTTTATTAGACATATAAACATCGTATTAAAATGTTCAAAATTCTCAAAAATAATCAAAATATGAAAAAAAAATCAAATATATCAAAAATCTAATTTTGTCAAAGTTTAGATTTTTTTAAAGTTTTTTTAAAAAAAAATAGTTTTTTTGGTACGGGAAGTTCGAGCAATTTGCCTTAAGACACGAAGCCATGCACCACTAGTTTGATATTTGCAATTACTGTAACTTATCCTACAAACAGTTATTAGTACATTAAATGAAGCTAATTTAATCCGAAGGTATTTCTTCCAAATTTTTTTCATAACAATTCCTCGCCGGTTGTCTCACTTGTTAGTTATTCTGTCGGAATGTCTGTGTATGGAGAGAGGTATGGTCTAGTATCAGGAAAATGAAAGAAAAAACGTTACATTTATCGCCGTAGCGACTGCGGAAGCAAAAACTTTTGCCAGTGAGTAAATTACTTTTGTTGTAACTTCCCACGTAGAACATGCTTAACGCCTTAGATTACACATGGAACGATATTGCGAGTTAACGCCATATTCTGCAGATTTATTCACAGCATCAGGACCACTGTTAAAATTAGGATTATCTAAACAACTTTCTCCGAGGAGAACCTACGAGAGACCTAATAATAGACACAAAAAAAACATTGTAATAAAAAAAAACATTTTCCATTTGACCCAAAGTATTTACAAATAATGTGGAATCGCTTTCTACTTATGTTTCGTAGTTATAAAATTTATGTTATCTCTCCTTCGATAATTCAGGTTGTTGAGTTATAATTTAACTCTTGTAGCTGAGGACTGTATTAAACACTGATTTGGTTGTATATTGTGTATTTATTGCAACTTTCTCGGAGAAGAATCTACGGGAAAGCTAATAATAGGTACAAAATAAACATTGTAATGAAAAAAAAACAATTTCCATTTGACTCTAAGAATTTACAAAAATATGTGAAATCGCTTTCTACTTATGTTACGTAGTTATAAAATTTATGTTATCTCTCTTACGATAATTCAGGTTGTTGAGTTATAATTTAACTCTTGTAGCTAAGGACTGTATTAAACACTGATTTGTTTGCATATTGTGTATTTGTTGCAGTTCTAATTACAATCACTTGTTTGTCACTATGCTATAATAAAAAAAGATATATTTATTTATTATTCACTATACATGTTGTTTCGCGGACTTTACTTTTAGAAGTGAACAATTATTTCCATCAAAACACTCCGCTACCCCCTCTACCAGGGGTAGCAACCATTCCGTGTAAAGCTTAATGCCATGAAGGTTGTCACCTTCATGGTCAATATAATAAAACGAACACGCTTTTTCTTCACTTATTGTTAGACAATTTATTTATCCATAGTAACTTCTGTATATATTACTCATTTATTCTCATAACATAGGATTTTGAATTAAATTATCTATGCTTTATACAAAAGTTTTAATTTAACTTGTTAACTGTGATTGTCGAATATACTCGTCATATAAAAATTACAATTTTGTGTATTGATGAGTATACCTGTCATGCATATAAAACAGTGATTATTTACAATTAAAATTGAAATTTTTGAAAAAAAAAACTCGTGAGAACCATTTTGCCTTAAGGCAAGTTGCATGAAGTTTTCGATACCTATACATAATAAACTTAATTAATAAAATTGAGATTTATTTATGAGTATGAATCGTCAACTGTTTTTCTAAAATCTTCGCACTTTCACTAAAAATTTATCAATGCAATTTCCAGTTATCGATACGATATCAATCAAACAAACGTATAATATTTGTAATATGATGATATGATATAAATGAAATTAATTTGTATTCTACATTTCATTTTATCCATTTCGGGTTCTACAAAATTATTTTTTTGGATAAATTTGTGTAAATATGAATATTGACGTCGACTGTAATCAGTACCTACATATATGTGGAACGTGCATATGCTTTAGCATAGATTCTGATTAAAAACCCTTAAACGCGCTATTATAAATTTTGATGATTTTTTTATAATTCATCCGCTTATCGTAGGTTTATTATATTTTAGTATGATATCCCATACTACCATATCTATTGTTCTACAAAGATTCATCAGAATCTCCATTTTTTTCAATATTTAATTACAAAGAAACGGCTTCGCCAATCGTCGCGCAAAACTGATAAACGTTAGTCCTCATCGAGTTACATCGGATGGCTTTTAAATTTTGGAAATCGGTTCAGCCGTTTTTGAGAAAATTTCGACAAAAGGTCAACAATTGGTTTACGTACACACACAGACATACTTTTTTCCAAATTATATATATATATATATATATATATATATATATATTTAATTTTATTTCAATATCAATCAGAATACATGACTATTCTATGAGCTATTGGCTTATGTCATTCACTCACACACATACACACACACTTTCAAACACACATATAAATTTATCGGATCAATATTACAATCATATTTAGAGAATCACTTCAATAAGTGATTCTACTATTCTGTTCATATAAGGTTGTGGTAGTTCTAAGTTCCTCCATATCATCTTCGGGGCAGCTTCTTCTTCAGTCTTCTTAAGTTTTTCTTCCAATAGGTCTCATTCGATTCAGAATACTTGAAACGCCAAAAAACTCGCTGCAGTCATGGAATATCTGGCCGCCGAAGTTCTCGAGTTAGCCGGCAATGCGGCTCGCGACAACAAGAAGACCAGAATAATTCCGCGTCATTTGCAACTGGCCATCCGCAATGACGAGGAACTGAACAAACTGTTATCGGGTGTTACGATTGCTCAGGGCGGTGTATTGCCGAACATACAAGCTGTGCTTTTGCAAAGAAGACAGAAAAGAAAGCTTAAATTTCTTTTATTGTCGCAAATTGACATAAAACCGTCCTTCTCAGGACGAACAACTTTATTCAAAAATGAACATATATTATTTTACTATTTATTTATTATTTTACTATTTTATTTATAATACTATTTAATTTACTATTCAATACTCATTTTAATTTATTTTAATTTTTTTATCATAACATTCGGTATATAATTAATTGATTTTAGATATTTTTATTTAATAAATAAAATAACAACATTTGTTTGAATGAATCAAAGAATATTTAAGGTTATAAATGTACGAAATAATAACTTTATTTATTAGTTACGTTGTTATAAATCATTTAAAATGAATATAAAAAAAATCTATATAAGTATATTAATTTTTGTAGTGATTTCAACATCAAATAAAAATCTTGTTTTATTATCGAATATTAGCACATTTATATGTTATTATGTTATCAATTATTATTGAATTTCACTAATATCGATTATAGAATTTGTATATTTAAAAAAAATTGTAGGGTTTGTTAATGATTTGATTTTTATAACATTCGCAATTCAGGCTAAAATCTCGCATGTTTTCTGACCCTCGAGCAAACGGTTATTCACGGTCGTCGTGTTTAGGAACTGCCGCTGTATAGTGGCCTAAATGTTTCAGCAAGCATTTACGCTAGATATCAATGTCAATACCATAATACCTTATAGCAATTTGTTAGTCTCGACGAGAAGAATAAAATAATAATTATTCATAAAGAAAATAATAATGTTATAGTGAATTTTGACGCGTGTTTTTAAAAAGGGGCGTGGCTTAGTGATCGTGGAAAGTTTTACTAATAATTATCGTACAAAATTTATTAATAATCATAAATAAATGTACAAAATAATAACTTTATTTATTAGTTACGTTGTTATAAAACATTTAAAATAAATATAAAAAAAAATCTATATAAGTATATTAATTTTTGTAGTGATTTTAAAACCAAATAAATAATTCTTGTTTTATTATCAAATATTAACACATTTATATGTTATTATGTTATCAATTATTATTGAATTTCACTAATATCGATTATAGAATTTGTATATTTAAAAAAAAAATTGTAGGGTTTGTTAATGATTTGATTTTTTATAACATTCGCAATTCAGGCTAAAATCTCGCATGTTTTCTGACCCTCGAACGAGCGGTTATTCACGGTCGTCGTGTTTAGGAACTTACGCTGTATAGTGGCCTAAATGTTTCAACAAACATTTACGCTAGATATCAATGTCAATATCAATAATACCTTATAGCATTTTGTTAGTCTCGACAAGGAGAATAAAATAATGATTATGCATAAACAAAATAATAATATTAGTTAATTTTGACGCGTGTTTTTAAAAAAGGGCGTGGCTTAGTGATCGTGGAAAGATTTACTAATAATTATCGTACAAAATTTATTAATAATCATAAATAAATGAATTGTTATAAAATTATAATAGTATTATTATAAAGTTATAATGAATTATTATGAAATTTTACTATTGTCGAATATAAATTTTGTATTTTAGGTATTATTTACATATTTCCTTAAAATTTAAGAAAAATTAGATAATCTCGAAAAATTATATGAACACACATAACGATTTATATATCATTTTATTCGTGATTTTATCTGCATCTTTCGTACGAACAAAGTTTTTTTCGTATCTTTTACTGTTTAGCTAGTAGAGAGCAATCTGTGTGATTGATCACTTATTGAAATGCAAATTACATTTAGATTGCAGCAATTATTGACAATATTTCTATATTTTCATAAAGAAACCATATAAATTATAATACATTGTTAAAATTTCGTATGGTTCTCCAGTCATTCAATTCTAATAACAATCACCATTTAGGCTAAAATCTTGCATGTTTTCTGACCCTCGAACAAACGGTTATTCACGGTCAGCGTGTTTAGATATAGCAGCAGAGCCGCATATTCAGTTCAGCAAGCATTCAAGAATAAAAGAATAAAATAATATTTATTAAATATCAACTAATATATAATCTTTTCTCGGCAATGAATATAAGATATTATTATTTTATTCTATACAATTGAATTAAAAAAAAAAAAAAACATAAATATTATATTTTATTATTAATGACTAAATTATTTATACATTCGATTTATTTTAATAAAATATAATATGATAGAAATATTATGATTTTACAGAATAAACAGTTTGTGAATTTTTTGACTCAAGTTATTTCAAGAAACAACAGTACAATTGTTTACTGTTTTGTATTTTATCGTTCTTTTGAAAACTACGAATGAAATAATTAATTATAACGATAATATTATTTTATTAGATACTATGCAAAAAGAGAATAGAGCACACTTCTTGAACTTGAATGCACGACGCGACATAATGTTTTACACAAATGATTTCTAACCGAATTTTATGCGTTGGTGTATTGATAGTGTATTACATCGTAAATATAATTAATTATTTCATACAAATAATATTTATTTTAATAAAATATTATATTCGTTATTTAATCAAATCGTTTATATTAGCTATTGTTCAGTATAGATTCATAGAGTACTCAAATGAATGTTCAATGACAGTTTATGAACAATTATGATACTATTTATGAATAAAAATTTACAAAAACTGTTTCTAGGATATATAAGTATAATTACATCGCATCAAAATATAACATATCTCAATGCTCATAAAAATGCGATAACGATTTTGTTGAAAACGCACTATTGAGTGCAGAAGTTATTTGAATATAATTAGCGATATTTTAGAAAAACTAACCGTTGAAATAAATCATGCTTTTGATGATATGTTGGGGATGAATTTGGCTATCATGTAAATCCATTGTTTTATGCGAATTATTTAGAATAAAAGCGCTGGATTTAATTTTTACAAATAATTTACATTTTTGTAAAATTTTCAAATATTATTGTTTTTCTCCTCGGTCCTACACTTTTCGAATATAGTTTTTGGCCACGCCCCTAACATATTTAACCAATCACGTGTTAGATTTACATTTTAACCTACGATTTTTTACTATAATGTCAGATAACGCTTTATCTACGTCGCCGGCGGCAACCGCTGCGCCAGCGACAGCATCGCCGAAAAAGGGCAAGACTGCGGCTGTTAAAAAACCGCGAGTGAAGCCGTCCCATCCTCCTACATCTGAAATGGTAAACAACGCTATTAAAAGTCTGAAAGAACGCGGCGGATCGTCGCTGCAGGCGATTAAGAAATATATGTCGGCCAATTATAAAATCGACGCCGAGAAAATGTCAACGTTCATTAAAAAGTATTTAAAGTCAGCTGTTCAAGCGGGCACACTGATTCAAACAAAAGGCAAAGGTGCTTCGGGTTCGTTCAAACTTGCCGCGAACGCTAAACAGAGCGGCGGCGAAAGCGGTGTTTCGGCTGGAAAAGCCAGGACCGCTAAGACGCCAGCGGCAAAAGCAAAATCGAAGACAGCAAAGTCGAAGGGCGCCGCCAAACCTGCTTCGTCCCCTAAAAAGAAGTCTGCATCCGCAGCGGGCACATTAAAAAAGTCGTCGGCGAAACCTAAGACGACAGTCGATAAGAAGAAGACCATTCAGGGTAAGTCGACGAAAGCCTCATCGGCCAAGGCAACGAGCAAAACGAAGAAAACCGTCAAGACCGCAGCCGCAAAGAAACCTAAATCGCCAAAGAAGACATCAAAAGTAGCCAAACCTTTGAAAAAAGCGTCACCGAAAAAGAAGTGAAAACATTTCATTATCTTTTTACACAACAGCAAACGAAAATGTTTGCACAAAGTCCTTTTCAGGACTAACAATAAATTTTTATCAAAGAACATTATTATTTTACTTATATATATCTTATCATCTTATATTATAGCCTTTTCGTGGACTTCGGAAAAATTTTAATAAAATATTTGTAACAGGAGCGCAGCAACGCTCGCTGTGTTCCTCGCCGCCGTGTTGTGTCATTGACGAAATTTAAAAGTCAAAGTCTTTTCAATTTTCAATTTCGTCTTTGGTAGGGAGTTGTTCAATATCAATCGCTGAATTTTATTTATTTATTTATTATTTTTTTTAAATAATTTTATATGAATAAATTATCTTAATCAAATGAAATATAATCAATAATTTATTAATAAAAGTTTATATATCACTTTAAATAAATCAACTATACATAGAACGGCAACTCTCATAATAATTAAATTCATAATTTTTTCTAATTTTTTTTTTATATAAATAATAAGTAAATGGAATTAATTAATGAAATAAAATATAATCATTAATAATTTATGAAGTTTCAATCTTTTTTCATATCGTATTCGAAAAAGAAAATTTATATAACTTTAAATAACTATATATGAAATTAAAAATATACAATAAAAAAAAAAATATTTATATATATAAATATATATAATATAATATATATAATATAAATTTCTATCATCAGAACGGCAACTCGCCCATATTAATTAAATTTAGAATTTTTTAAAGAAGCTTTCAGAAATTCATGACGAATTTTACAAATTCAACTATAATATTTTTTAAACTTAACACAACAACACACTATTCAACAAGTCAAATCATGTGTGTTGTCAATAATTTCAATTAAAAAAAAAAATCAATAAAAATTTCTTACGTATCGATGGAATAATTCTGCAAAATAAAATAATTTGAAAAATAATAAAAGTTCTTTTAATTGATCATTTTGGTGGTCCTGAAAAGGACCGATTTGTTTTATAGGACGACAGGCGTCTAAGCGCGTTCTCCTCGAATACGCCGAGCTAGTTGAATATCCTTGGGCATGATGGTTACGCGCTTGGCGTGGATCGCGCACAAGTTGACCTTCGAACAGGCCAACCAAATAGGCCTCGCTAGCTTCCTGCAATGCCATGACGGCGGAGCTCTGAAAACGCAGATCGGTCTTGAAGTCCTGAGCGATCTCGCGCACTAGACGTTGGAACGGCAACTTTCGTATGAGAAGCTCGGTGCTCTTCTGGTAACGACGGATCTCACGCAGAGCTACGGTGCCAGGCCGATAACGATGCGGCTTCTTCACACCGCCGGTCGCCGGCGCGCTCTTGCGAGCCGCTTTCGTTGCAAGCTGCTTACGGGGCGCCTTGCCACCGGTGGACTTGCGAGCTGTCTGCTTCGTACGGGCCATTATAACTCCTAGATTTCGTTTCGAGAACCTTCTCGTTTGACGATCGTTTTGATACTGACGCGTCCGGCTCGAATATTATGATCAAATACATTACGAATGTCCGATGCTGTGCTCGGCTGTCATTGGTCGGCGCCGAATGCTCGCATAGCTATGATGGGCGTGGCCTAGCGAGCTCAAACTTTTCAATAATTTCGCTCGTCGGAATTCAGTCGTTATTCAGACTTCGAGCTGTTAACATCAATTTGTAAATTATCCCGACTGCGATATATTGAAAAATGACCGGCCGTGGCAAAGGTGGTAAGGGACTCGGAAAGGGTGGCGCTAAGCGACACAGGAAAGTTCTTCGCGATAATATCCAAGGTATTACAAAGCCGGCTATACGTCGTCTTGCTCGCCGTGGCGGCGTCAAGCGTATCTCGGGTCTAATCTACGAAGAGACCCGCGGTGTTCTGAAAGTGTTTCTCGAGAACGTTATCCGCGA